CCTGAAAATCAACATAATAAGGACCTTTAAATTAAAGTAGCATAATACGATGTGTCTTCAAAGTCATATACAAGTAAAAGATCAAAAGTATCAGCATCACATACTTAAAGAACTACAACTGTTTGACTCTGCCTTTTTATTAAATCATTAAAGGTGGGGTAGGTAATTCACTTCAGAAACACTTTTTGTTATATTCCATGGAATGCTCTTAACATCCCGATAGCAATGAATACATTAAATGCTTTGACAATAAATACATACAAACATTTCATCTGTGGAAGCCGTAGTACTGTAAAAAGCACGACCAATCATCTGAGCCGGCCCGGCTAAAATAACTGGATGGCCTACCTGCCTGTCAGCCTTCCATCTGTGCTCAATAGTGATGTGTCGGTCGCGAACGAGCCGGCTCAAAGTGAACGACGGGAGCCGGCTCGCGCCCGCGAACGAGCGTTTTTTTTGTTTTTGTTATTTTTTGTTAAGTAATACAAGACAGAATGATATGATGATCTCCGCGCTACAGCTGCTCCGTGCATGCATGCAGTGACATGTAATATCCAAGGATTAGAGACTGTTGGATGCTGCTGTTTTGAGCATTGCAATACATTTATTTTTATTATGTTTTTTTATGATTAGAGACGGTTGGATGCTGCTGTACTGAGCATTGCAATATATTTATTTTCACTATGTTATTTATTTATGATTATCCTTGGGCTCAGCAAAGATTTGATGTCAGCTGTTGCTGTCTTTTTTTCTATAGTTAATACTGAAATAGAGCCCTGCTGTTTTGTCAGGGTCTTTTCTTTAAATATAATTTTAAAATGTCGATACAGTAGCCCCTTTTTTTAAATGTCTATGCTTAAGTTTTTATAGGTGTTGCTATCTGCTTTGTGTAGCGTGGTTCTACAAGAAAGTCTGTGCATTCATTGGGTGGTATCAGAGAGTTACAAGGGTCAGTCAATGCAATGAAAACAATTGGCCACAGCAAATAATTGATATTAAACATGTAATTTTTACTTTTGAATACTTCAGTACAAAGGATGTATTGAATAATTTAAGTGATATGTGTACACACATATAAATCATTAGTCAAAACAGGGCTACATTTGATTGAATTATAAAAGGTATAATATGTGGTAAACTGAAGAGCCGTTTCGGAGCCGAAAGAGCCGGCTCTTCTTGGTGAGCCGAGCCAAATGATCCGGCTCACCAAGAAGAGCCGGAATTCCCATCACTAGTGCACAAACTTATCTCGTGCCCTCATTGGTCATGTGCGCGTTCGTGTGTGTTGGAGGAGGGGCTCTGTAAGGAAGTCTGAAGGAAGGGGCAGATTTTTTCCGGTTGTGTACTTTCAAATTCTAGCACACTCTAGCTGGTTTCTCCATTCTTACCTCAGGGGTGCCGTAAGGGGGTGAAAAGTTCAAAATCCCTGGCGGCGCCCCTGCCTACCCTACCTTTAACTTGAATTATTGTATTGTACATCTTCCTTCAGTCTGTTATGGCTACTTTTGCTTTAACTTTTGTTTTCCCTGTGCTTGTAATGCTTTTTGTAAATCACTTTCACTTGCCTTGTTAATAAATGTGGCTGCCTTACCTGATGCTTCATGTGTTCATATCCTAAATGTTTAAAAAGGAAAACATGCCTCTACATTGTATGTGTTTTAAAAATGAAATGATTTCCAAAATAACACATTTCACTGCTCAACAAAGATTAGAAGTCCTTAGAGAAATTGATTTCCTGATATTGACCGTGGATCCTCTGAGCCTCATCACCCTGTCTCACTCTGCAGAACAGTTCACATTTGTCTGATGGTGTAAAAAGTAGGAAAACATTTAAATGGATGTGTTTTTACAAACTCATTCAGGGTTTGGGTCAGCCTTTTGAGATGACAGTGCGTGTAACAGACCTTAAAGCCTCCAGCTTTGTTTGTTTGTCCCATTGAGATCAACGATCTCTTTTACAAGGGAGACCTGCCGCACATTGGTTACACATGTAACAGAAATACAACAGAAAACAAAAAGGACACAACATAATGACAGGGGTACAATTTACAAACGTATTCACAATGACAGGTACAAATATCATTTCATCCATCCGTGCTTTAAAATGCTAATTTTCTAAATGTTTTGCAGAGTGTTCCAAGCTAGAGGAGCTGCGCACATAAAAGCTTTAGTGCCTAAAACAGTCCTAGCACTTGGTACATGTAATAAAAACACATCCTGGGATCTTAGGCAATAGCTACTTGCGACTCTCTGTGATATCAGTGAGCAGATGTAAGTTGGTAGTTTACCCAGCATGGCTTTATATATGAATATGACTGAGTCTCCGAACAGTAAGTGATGGCAGACTTGCCCTGGCATACAGGGTACAGTGATGAGTAAGTGCTTTACAGTTAGTAACAAATCTCAGCGCACTGTGATAGGCGGCATCTAACTTGATCAGGTAATGGGCAGGTGCATTCATATATATATCAAATCACTATAGTCCAGCACATCAGGTAAAAAGGTCACAGAGACTTTTCCTGGCCTCAAGCGAGAAACAGGACTTGTTTCTGAAAAAGAAACCTAGCTTCACCCTCAACTTTCTAAGCAGATTATTGACCTGAGGTTTAAAAGAGAGGCAATCATCAAGCCAGATACCAAGGTATTTATAACAGGTAACCACTTAAAGTAATTTTCCTTGCGTAGTAACAATATCCAAAGTTGTCTCCGGTGTCTTTTTGGCTTTTGAAAATAGCATTACCTTAGTTTTATCCACATTTAAAAGAGAGCTGCGTCTGGATAATATTAAAAACAGCTTGTAATTTAACAACAGCCTCCTTAATGGAGGGACCTGCACAATACATCACGGTATCATCAGCATAAAAATGAGAATGCTTGAGAGAGTCGACTGAATATATTTGCAGTTTTTCAGCAACACATCACGGATTCTGCTGCAGGGAGTGTGGGCTGAAAAGCCACAGCAGCAGTAAATCTGAAATGACACCTTATAAAGGTCATTCAAAAATAAAAGCGTCCCATGAATCAATTGTGATTCAAGTGCCCTCTGTTAAAGTTCAGCTCACCCACAATCCCTCCCACTCCCACTTCCACTCATCAGCCATGTTGAATTAAATCTGTTTAGTATGCCTTGTCATTTATCACTTATGTAAGTTGTCACCATGAAGAGCTCTTGTCAATCGCTTTGTTTGTTTGTTTGTTTTTACCCTTTGTTTGTTTCTGAAGTGAGATGCTTGAGAATGATTTTAATCTTAGCTCTCGATTTCGTAATTAAATTATCTTCTGCCTGTCTTTAAGATAAAATAGATATGATTATAATAAAATAAAGAAATAATAACAATTATTTCATAATAATGAAAGAAAAAGAAGATATGTAAAAAAATAAGTTGACCCCACTGGTCACCTCCTATAGCGCCATGGATTAATATTTAAAAAATATATAAAATAAAATATTAATGTTTACATGGAGACAAGATGCTCTGTAATTATTGTGCAATTATTATTATTACATGTTTTATTGTTATATATTTGAATTATAACCAAGATGTAGAAGGCAAGACAAAAAATATTGTTTCATGTTTTGAAAACTCAAAGAGAAAATATATATAATTACAGAAAATGATGATGGAGAAAGCATAAAAGCTGAAGCTGTTACCAGCTTTCCTTCATCAATAAAAAGATCTCCCACTGACTGTGCTTTTTGAAATGTCATCTTTGCATTTCAATAGAGAGGAATGTCTCACCCCTGCATTGAAGTCACTTTCTTATTTCTATCTTAGCATACAAACTGTGGATAATAACTGTTTTTGCCTCCTAGAAACTCTCGCTGACTTCAGAGAAACCAACTTCACTTCAGACGATCCAACAGATCCTCAACCATAAGAGCTCACAGGCAACAAAAAGAAAAAAGGGAGAGGCGGTATCTGAAGACCCACTTTGATAAGATAACTGACATATTGCATTTTCATTTTGACACCAAAAGATTGGGATGCTTTGCTTTTTGAATACCACTCAAAAGCAGGCTAGGTTTCTAAAAGTGAAATGTAAAGGGCTGTTTTAATTTTCAAAGAGAAAAAAGCATTTTCATTTTTACTTAAATATTGTTTGTATAAATGGAAAATCCTGTTGAAATGTTTATATTGCACTTTAATCATCACATTTTATATAATATTTGAATAGTGTGCACTGTACAGCCGGGTCAGACAGCTTTATGTTGATTTTAATATGATCAGATTAGTATGTGAAAATGTAAATGCAAAAGTAGATGTGATATTGCCTTAATGGGCTTCGATACATACACAAAAATACAAAATGCAGGTAAAGGTCAACGTTTGTCATGATGTTTCATGCTTATACTGAGGCATTTTTGTGTGAGCTTGGTAAAAATTAAAGGTAGGTTTTTAAAAATGTAAACAAAAACACTTTAATGTCAAGGAAAATATCAAGAGAAAGACAGCTGCAAGAGCAAACACACCCTAAAATAGAGTTTTCCCCTCTTTATATCTCTATAACTTTCCTGCCAACACGTAATAAAGAAAAATAACCTGATGTTTTTATTTGTTGGGATGTCATTTAAAATATTAAATCAAATATATGTCAATTAAGATTAAACATCTATAGGCTACAGTTAACAAAGTCATCAATGGGCTTCCATACATACTCCAAATACAAATTACAGGTGTGTATAAAGCTCAATGTTTGTCATCATGTTTCATGCTTTTACTGAAGAGGCATTATTGTGTGAGCTTGGTAATTAAACCCTAAATGTCCAGGAAAATATTAAGAGAAATATGTCTGCTGCAATAAAACGCACCTTAAAATAGAGTTTAATTTCCCCTCTTTATATGTCTATAACTTCGCAGCCAACACGTTATATTAAAAAAAATGATATATTAAATATAATAGATGTCATTTTAAATATGAAATCTTATATCTATTGAAATTCAAATGTCAAATAAACCGCAGGTAGTCTCGTCTCCTGGCGACCGCGGCACCGGAAGTGTGTTTTTATGAAGCCGTTAAAAGCCAGTTGACGTCGGCTAGCTAACGTTAGCTGTCAGCCAGGTTCAGTCATTGTGCAGGATGGAGGTGACACGCCAAAGTAAGTAACCAGCCACATTTTGCTCTCATGATTCATAGCACGCTACATACACCTAAATATCGCACAACAGACGAGTGAACTGATATGTATTTAAAATGGACAAAACTGGTTTCATTCCGTAGCTTTGTGTGCTGCTAGCTAGCAAGCTAGGTAGCTAGCTGCAAGCACGGCTGCGGGGTTATGTGTGCTTCTGTTTGGCTACCACGCTTCCATTGGTATTCATACACTTTCCCTTCTTTACAGATTTTAAAGACAGTTTAAAGACGGTTTACAGCGCGATAGAAGAGGCTGACTTCCTTGCCATCGATGGAGAATTTTCAGGTAACAGTGAGAGTTTTTAGCATGAACTGCGACTTAAATGGTTACAGCTGTGAACACAAGTGGGAGAAGTACTCGGATCTTGCACTTGAGTAAAAGTATAAGTTCCAGAGTGCAGTAAACAAGTACTAGTCCTGCATTCAAAATGTTACTCAAGTAAAAGTACTTAAGTATTGGCATCAAAATGTACTTTAAGTACTCATAAGGCATTCATTGGCTCATATAAGAATAATACACCTTGTGTTTTTTTTATTCAAGATTCAAAGCTTTATTGTCATGATTTATATTTATTGATGCATTAATGTTTATCAAATGTGGAACTAATTATTATTATTATTACTTTGCATGCTGCAGAGTAGCTTGTGAAACTAAAGTTTTATTTAAGTGTTGATTATATTTCTCATCATTAAACTAAATCTACAAAGTAAATAAATGTAGTGGAGTAAGAGTAGCAACAAGTTGAACTACTCAAGTAAAGTTCAAGTCCCTCAAAAGTACTTAAGTACAGTACTTGAGTAAATCTACTTGGTTACTTTACACTACTGGCTGTGAATATAAATGGTGTGTTTATGTTCAGGGATAAGTGACGGTCCTAATGTGAGTGCACTTACCAATGGACTGGACACACCAGAGGAGAGATACACAAAGCTTAAAAAGGTGAGTGGAGTTTATAGTGCGCACATTTGTGATGCCTTCTCTTTTCCCTCCATTTTCTAGTATAATCTCATTTTGATCTCTCTCTCTCTCTGTTCGCCAGCACTCCATGGACTTTCTGCTGTTCCAGTTTGGCATATGCACATTCACGTACGACCAGGCAAAGTCAAAGTGAGTCGCAACTGTTTCACAAATACACAACTATAGTTCTGGCGTTTCTATTTGGGAATAAATTAGAAGCCGAGGCAAACCTAGACTTTGGGGAGCCCCGACAAAAGCAGCCTACTTTGGTGAGGCTCAAGGGCACAGCCTTTATTTTAACATGGTGGGATGCATCATGCACATATTAAGATTAGAAGTCTCTCCAGCAGGACATATGAGATAAAAACTAAACTCAGTGTGTTCTGATGAATTATATAGCCCAAAGTCATGGTGGAAACACAAAAGTCAGATGGCGGGTAACAATTAAGTATATAAAAATATATTGCAGTAAGTGCTCTCATACATTATGTATCGCTTTTAAATGTTTTATTCTCCTGTGAATCAACCTTTTCCATTTAATGTTATCCATGTCGACAAACATGGACATCCCTTTTTTGTGTTTTGTTTAATAAAAGTAACCTGTACATATGCACGGGGCACCAATTCATTTTAATTTCAAAAACGTTATATGTTTCCCTTCTAGCTAATTAACTGTAAATGGCCTTTTATGGGAGGTTTAGTGATGAATGTGTAATTTCAAAATGTGCTAAAATGAGTGGCTTGAGCCATACTTAAGATGGATCCTGTGATGCATATTTCTAAATTCCTTTTTTAAATCAAATGACTACCTAACAGACCAAGGCTTTACACAGATCAAATGTAGGGTTTCACAGCTACTTTTTACCTGTAGATCTTTACCAGGCTGTGCTTTGGTGTCAAGCAGGTTATTTGTATTAATTTGCAGCTGGTTGAATTATTTTACTAACTCTTATTTTCCTGTTTTCCCTTCTTTCTGCAGATATATCATAAAGCCTTTTAATTTTTATGTATTCCCAAAACCGTTCAATAGGACGTCCCCTGACCTAAAGTTCATCTGTCAGGTGAGGCAGCGATGTTCCTCGTGGTGATTGCATTGCTTCAGTGTGAACTGACATGAATGATTTTTAAAAGGGATGATGACTTGGATAGTTTTTGGGTTTCAAAGTTGGTAAAATAAAAGATCATATTTGTCATTTCAGAGTTCCAGCATCGACTTCCTGGCCAGTCAGGGGTTTGACTTCAACAAGGTGTTCTGTCATGGTGAGTAAACTGCTGAGTGACTGTAGCTCCATGCCAAGTCTCTTCTTTGTCATTTCCTCGCTTCTCGATCTTATAGCTCGAACCGGGGGTTGTTTTTGTTTTGTTATAAATGCAGAAACACAAGATCTAAATGTTTACAGCCAACCTAGTCCCTAGTAGAGGGACGAATAAACTAAGATGTTTCTCATTTTCAAAGGAATCCCGTACCTAAACAAGGAGGAGGAGGCCCAGCTGAGGGAGCAGACGGAGGAGAGGAGGAACCAACAAGCCAACGGTATCAATAATCAATCGTTCACCTCCCCGTCCTCCAAAGGCCCAGCACACGTACCTCAGGAACACAAAGAATACATCAACAGGGTGATGTACGTGTCACTCACGTTTTTTCTGTACAAATGTGCACTTGTATGTTGCATTTAACCCTTGTTGGAAACCTTTGTTGCATTACTGTGCGTGTGTCGATGATGATCACTCGAGTCATATAGTTCTTGAGTGGCTGCTAAGACTAAAAAAGCTTCCATTTCCCATCATGGCTTTTTATGACTTAATTTTTATCTGACAACTTACATTTTTGATGTGCTATTGTGTTTAATGTCTTGCAAATCTTTACTTTGCACAGTTTGTTCTTGTAAGTTCTTTGTTTTGACCTGTTCGAAGGCACTCCAGATGTGAATTGGCGTAAAGCTATCATTTAATACTTTGCATCAAATGGTAACACTTACATTTTAAACTGGTCCCTTCTGAAAAATAATTGTAAAAAATGTGTTTTACTTGATCAATGTTATTTTCTATTATAAATTGCTTCACGCACACTGCATAATGAGGCCCTTTTAGTGTTTTGATCATTTCTACCCATTTCCCCTCCCAGAGGGAAGGTGGAGGGTCTCTTCACGAGCTCAGAGAAGACTTTGGACCTGGAGCCATGCACTGGGTAATCTAGGAAAACTAACCCTAACCTACATTCATTTTGTATTTTTATTATCATTACTTACATTTGATATTTCCTTAACAGGTTTCAGAGAAAGCTGATCTACCAGACACTGAACTGGAAGTGAGTCACTCAACATTTTTGTAATTATTGTAGTTTTTGGGTTTGTTTGAATAAGATTAAGATGTGTGGTGTTTTCACAGGTTTCCCAAGGGGCTTCATGTAGAAACTGTGGAAACAGAAAAGGTAAGAATGTGTTTTTAATTCAACCAATTTTGCCTTTTTTTGTTTTGGGTTTTTATCTGTATATAAGGTATTTTTAAAATATTGACTATTTGTGCGCAGAAGGAACGGTTCATCCAGGTCTGCAAAGTAGATGATGAAGAGAGGAAGAGGAGAGAACAGCAGAAACTGGAGAGGGAGCAGGTAGGAACTGTCAGGAGCATCTTGAACATTAGGATGCGGTAGTTTTACATTCTATCTCATAATTCTTTACCCCAACAGGAGGAGGTAAACGACGCCGTTGGCTTCTCCAGGGTCATCCACGCCATCTCCAAATCTGTGAGTCTACCTCAAGTTTTTTCAGTCAAACTGCACATTTTTATGGGATTTTGTATTTATTTGAACTATAACTCTTAAAATGGGGGATAGCAAGTTCGAGTCCCACTGCAGTCAGCATGTCGTTGTGCCCCTGGGCAAGACACTTCACCCCAAATTGCTCCTGTGGGGACAGTACTGAATGTATGCAAGTCGCTTTGGATAAAAGCCTCTAACAAGTAATGTAAAAAACGAGAATTGACTAATCAGCAGTTCAAATGCATGACTCGTGTTTAATTTCATCATTACTGGTCACTTTTGCCCTAACGGGGAATCTTTCTGTTGCTAAATCAAGTTTTTATATTAAACAGTTTTTACTGTAAATGTGGAATGAACCCTTATCCCTTTCCATCCGACACACAGGGTAAACTCGTGGTTGGCCACAACATGCTGTTAGATGTGATGCACACCATCCAGCAGTTCTACCTCCCTCTGCCAGAGGTAAACAACCCGAGCTAGCTGTATACACATTTTCTGTTTTTGCAGGAATGTCAATTATTCATTATGTTTGCCAATGTTCTTTCCTTCAGGATCTTCCAGACTTTAAAGAGGTCACCATGTGTGTGTTCCCGAGGTAATATCCCTCTGCTTGGCTTTTATATTGTCTATATAACAGACACTTTTCTGTACTTTTTTTGTTATTTAAAGCTTAACATTGTTATATTTCCACTTGCAGACTCCTGGACACAAAGTTGATGGCGTCCACTCAGCCGTTTAAGGTAAATGATCTCAGTCAGTGCTGAAGCAGACCAGAAGCACCCATATGTTTTTGGTGATTTGAGAAACCGATATGTATATAAGCCCTTGCATGCTAAACTCGTATTGCACTTTTGGTAACAAGCATTGTCCACATCGAGACGGGTAAAGTTGAACCACACCTCGGAGCGCGTTCTCTCCGCCATCTCCTCCGTGTGTGTTGCTGCATGTAGCAGCTGCGTGTGTGTTGCTGCATGTAGCAGCTGCGTGTGTGTAAACTGCCCCGCCCCCTCGCAAGCAGACGGGGGAGAGAGAGAGAGAGATCTCTCAATAATAGACGCATTTTGCAGTCTTTCTGCATATTAGAAACGGAGTTGGAGACACTAAAACTGCAATATAATGTTTGTGTAGCAATAATACATATGACATATATTTTATACATGTCTCCAGTACCGATAAAAAGACCAATAACGTCGGAGCTTAACGGTACCACTGTCTTTAATAATTCAGCCCCGGGGGCCGTTTAATACCGGGGCTCGGTACCCCTCCCTAGCTGTAATGACAAGATAACCTCCAGAATCTTTGCACAAACTGATTCAGGTGTTGGAGCACCAAGCAAAGAAGTAGCACTAAAGCAATTCAACTGAGGCTATTGTATTAAATATTTGTAAAAAATGTGTAAAAACGAATTGACAAAGTTTATTTGACTTTGTGTTTTAGGAGCTGATCAACAACACATCTCTGGCAGAGTTGGAGAAGCGAGTGAAAGAAGGCCCCTTCAAGTCCCCACTAGTTGGTAAGTAAACACGCATACATACATTTATTTATCTGAACCCCTCTCGACCTACGATAATCCTGTGACACGTATTTTTCGTCTTTGACCATTCAGAAACGGCAGAAGGCTTCCACAGCTACGACACGGGCCAGGAGCAGCTCCACGAGGCCGGGTACGACGCCTACATCACCGGCCTGTGTTTCGTCTCCATGGCCAACTACCTGGGTAACGCACGCACACAACCACACTGATCCCGTTTGGGGGGGGGGGAAAAGGCTGAAGACGTGTGGTTTGACTTGTTCTGATCAACTCTCTCTCTACAGGGTCGTTTCTGACTCCGCCCAAACCACACATCTCCGCTCGCTCCAAACTAATCGATCCTTTCTTCAACAAGTAAGAGATGAACTCATGTACTGCATTTGCTGCTTTCAAATGTTTCTGCTCAAATGTTTGGTTTATTAATGGATATAATCCCCTTTTTTTTTTTCCTAGGCTTTTCTTGATGAGGATAATAGATATTCCCTACCTCAACATCACAGGACCAGATTGTGAGTATGATCACTTTGAGTATGTCCCTCATGTTGTGTAAAAATGCACATTTCTGCACCAAGATTTGTGGCAGTATTCTCTAAAAGAAACATTAAAATGCAAACATGGATGACTACTACACCATTTTAGATTACTGTTGTAAAAGGATGCAATGTGCCTTTTGGTGAAACACAAAATGTTAACATTACTTCAAATTATAGCCCAGGGCCGTGAAAACGCAATCAAACGGTTTACTATTGATTTGTTAGCCTGCCAGGGCAGCACCGACACCCAGCTGCACACGCACACACACGCACACACACACACGCACACACACACTCACACACACTTCAAACTAAATGAAATCCACTTCAAGTAAACTACTCAAAATACACACAATAATACTAAACATACACGCATGAACTACTTAAAATACTAAGAGATGCAACATTACTTTGAAGTGACGCCAGAGGACTAGAGGGGTTTGATTTTGCTTCAGCTTCAAAGTAAATCTACTATCTCCACATCTCACCGTCACTTGTTGCCTTTCCCCTGTGTTCCTACAGTGACGCCTAAAAGAGACCACGTCCTGTATGTGACCTTCCCTAAAGAATGGAAGACCAGTGACCTCTACCAGCTCTTCAGTGCCTTTGGTAAGAGTTGATGTTTAACCTGATAACACTGCTCTCACACGACCCATTGTGTATCACTAACGCTCAGCTTCTATGATCCTCCCAGGGAACATCCAGGTTTCCTGGATAGACGACACGTCAGCGTTTGTGTCTCTCAGTCAGACGGATCAGGTACAGATAGGTGAGTTTCATCCTGTTCCGACTGCACTTCGGCTAAGACACATCAAATAAAAAATCTTCTGTTTGTGGCACTTATGTCACTTATAGGTAACAGCTGTTATGTCACTGTTACAGGGTGTCCGCGGGGTCTTAAAAAGTATTAAAAGTTGATAAATCAATTTAGTGAAAATGAAGTCTATTAAAAAATATTAAACGGCATTTTCCAAGGTATTACATTTTGTAGCTTGTTTTCAATAAGTATATAAATTGTCCAAAGAGGTTGTATTTTAGTGTGCCTGAATGTAATCATTGCGTAGGTGTGTAGTGTGATTCTGTGGAGTTTATTTATGGCATCCCGTTGGATTTGACGTCATCTCTGAACAGGACATCTCACGCTCACTGCTTGATAGCGCGCGAAGGTCCGTTTACGCCGGTTGTTAAAAAAACGTCGTTATGGGGAAATGCAAGTTTGCGTCCAAATGGTTGGAAGATAAGGAGGAAGGACAATCAATACTGTATATAGTAAATTTGAGGTCAAGTGTGTCGCTAATGTAACCGGTTAGAACTGGAAGTGGCGATGAGGTCTTAAAATGTATGGAAAGGGTCTTAAAAGGTTTTAGATTTGACTTCAGGATTCCTGCATATACCCTGTGTTATGTCACTTATAGGTAACAGCTTTCGAACACAACATAAGGGTTAAAGTGGCTAATTGATTGCTAATGTACTTGCTGGGTTTTAGTTGTATCTTCATGATACAATGCCCTTATTGTATCATTGTATGCCACTTTGGTTTAAAAAAAAAAAAAAAAAAAAAAAAAGCCTAAATCTAATAAAAAGTGAAATACACACACCGGAAATGTTAAAAAATGTTTAATGCAATGATCTGGTCCCGCAGCGATGAACACCAGCCGCTACGCAGAGAGCTACAGGATCCAGACGTATGCAGAGTACATGAAGGGGAGGCAGATCAAGGAGAAGGTGGAACCGACACCCAAAAGTTGGGGAGAGGACAGCTGGACCAAACCAAACTACACCCCCGCTACCTCTGCTGGGTTTGGATACCCCAGGTACACCTATGCTGCGTTTTCAACAGCACATTCAGTGTATTTACCGTGTATTTTAATGTATATTGATGCCTTTTTTTTTATGGTGTTTCTGCTCCAGGAAGCGCAGCATCAGTCCCGCTCTGGGGGAGCCGGGGACCGGAGACGCCGCCATGACGGATGGCTGGAGGGACTACGCCTACCCCGACAGCACGGGCAGCAAGAAGATGAAGACTGATGGTGGGTGACGCACGCTTCCTGCTGCAGTTTGGTAACATGAAGCTGTTTTTCCACAGAAAAGTGTATTTTTTTTTTTTTTTTTTAACCAATTTTGCAACATTTCTAAAGGTGACATTACGTTTGAGTAAATACCTTTTACAAAGAGTTCCCACGGGTGCTTGAATCCTTGAAAATGTTGCACTTAAAGGGGGTAAAATCAAGGCTTCTGATGTGTTAAATGTGTACAGAAAAAGGCACAGTGCACTTGATGTCGAAATTTGAATTTAAACAATATTTATTTTGGCTAACTTTAGATAATGGGCTTTATCCTGCTGTCTGCACGTGTTTCTCTTCTTTGTTTTTACGCCACCTGCCTATAAAGTATAAAAGTAATTAACCTTGATCTGTGTTTCAAACTATGCTGTGTTGTGTCCTTTGAATTTAATGTGAAAGTGTGGCAATTCTCTTTATAATATTAACATCATTAATGCAGACACTTTATTTATTTTGTTGTCACTAATGGTGCTTTTCCACTGCAGCACGGTTTAAGCGTGCCGTGCCAAACCCGGCCCGTTTTTGGTTGCGTTTCCACTAGGGGTAGTTCTGGCTAACGGGTGCTTTTTCACAGTTTTTCTGGCTCTCCAAAATCGTGGTTCTTTCCGGGCCAACAACCAGGCTGAGTCGGGCTGAGTATGCTAAACTAGTGAGAGAATCGCTGGCAAGGGGGCTACAACTACAACATGAACATATTTGACCGTGATTTAATTGTAATACACGTTTCAAAATGATGCCGAAGTAACAACATACTGATTCCGGCAGGGCCGCCTTAATGCACGGGCTGAAGCCCAGGGGCCTACGGAGATCGGGGGCCTATCATGAGCCAATAAAAGATTAAAAAAAAATATATATTTTTTGGGAGTTTATTTTTTTTTTTAAATAAACAAAGTCTTGGCTTTCAGAATATGAAACTTTTATTTCCAAAATCACACGATAAATACATTTTTGAATCTTGTAAAGGGAAGATGACCGCTCTCCCTCGCCACTCTGCTGTTCCACAGCGCCGCTTCCCCTCCCTCCGCTGAAATGATGAATGTAAGGCGTATAGTAATCATAGATAACACGGCAGGGTCCGTTACAGTTTGTTTTCATCTGATTTAAAATAAACAAAGTCTTGGCTTTCAGAATATTAAAATTTCAGCAAATTCAGATGATAAATACAACTTTGAAGCTCGTAACGGCATAATTACAAGCGGAGAACGGAGTAACTTAACGTCACAGCAGGCATAACAACAGCCAGTGTTTTCCCCGGGAAACAAACACAATACACACAAACGCAAAATACACAAACACACACACGTATACACACACTCGTGCGCTTCCCCCAGACCAGTAATCCAAACGAAAATATCTTCCCTCCGTACTATTTTGATAATTTGCTCCGCTAATCAATCAGATCGATAGATTCCAGAGATTTCTCTAAAAAATGATGACTCCGTAACAGTCAGTGGGCACCACTTAACAGCCAATCAGAATATGTTTAACATCTGACTTATTCAAATTGCGAGTGATTGAGTGACAGATGAAGGTTGTTTAGGAGAAAATGTCGGAGAAGAAAAGTGTGAGAGTGGCGCTCGGAAAAGGAAATTGTTGAGGGAAAAGGAGTTTCGAGACAAGCAGCTATTACAAAAAATGCCGAAGCTTACAGGTTATTTTAAACCTGTAGGCCAGGATGAGGAGGAAGGACAGATTAGTTCTGTACCGAGCGGTACAACGCTTCTGCCCATTCACTTTGAATGGGGTCACGCTTCGCTGAACTGCATTGTGGGAGCAAAGCATAGCTTTGCTCGCTTCAAAAGTAGAGCAATGTTCTACTTTTGAAGCTTCGACGGAAGCGTCAGCCAATCGAATCATATGCCAGTACAAGCTCTAGCCAATCAAACCGCTGCTTGTGTGTCCGGGGCGGGAGATTCAGGTGATTGGTTGTTGGTCTAGCTTCAGACATGCCCGCCGGCAAGCGTCAACGCACGCCGCCGTGTGTAGGGGCCGTAACGGCTGATGTTTGGTTTTGTGTTTCGCATTGAAGATGACGTCACGGCTCTGCCTACACTGCGTTACTATAGTTACTGTCCCAGCTACTAAACTGTAATGGAAACGCAGCATAAAGTGAGCCTGGACTACCAAGGCCTAACTATACCGTGCGAGGCCCTGCAGTGGAAAGCGCCGTAAATGTGTATCATGTCCTGTTAGTTTAAATGAAGGCTCTCATGCAGTTGTTGTGATTTTTAGACAAAAGTGGAAACGCAAACGCCATCGAGAGCAAGACCTCAGAAGGATGGCTAAAGACGGGGTAAGTGAAGTTGGGGTTAATCATTTAAGGTGTTAATGTTCTGTTTGTTGTGATTAAAGTCTCTTAATGCTTGCTGCGCCCTGCAGAGATGCATCAGACTCAGCGGGGTCGAGTCCAATCCCTGAGGAGGAAGAGGAAGAGGAAGAGGAGAAGGGAGAGGAGGAGGAAGAGGAGGAGGAGGAGGAGGAGGGAAGTCCTGAAGGCAACGATACTGAGGGGACGGTCACCTGGCAACAAGCCCCCACATCCCAGGGGAAGAAAGGGCAAAAGAACAAGAAAAAGTCTAAAGGTGAGACTGAGGGGCTTCACACTGAATCAGGCTGACTCTGACCCCCTAACCCCTTTCCTCATAACTTCAGATCGATTCTACAAAGTCTGGCTGACCTGGAACAAAAACGTATAAATAAATATTTTGGTCTCATTGCGATAGCAGCACTAGAAAGAAAAAAAACTCGGTGCTAGGTGACATTTTTAACACTTATTTTCAACTGTAGTTTAAACAGGTATGGTCGAGAAGAATGTCACTTTGTGTCCACAACAGTTTTTCCTTCTTCTGCCACAACTACAGGATTAATTGTGTCTTTTTATAACTTTCTTAAATAATCAATGTGTTTCTTATATCGATGTGGCATTGTTTATCATCCATTTGTATAGAGAGAATAGATATTTGTGGATTGTTTAAAACCTGTTGACGTGATAGAATTTGATATTCTTCATAAATACCTTTTTCACATGAAGAATGATTGTATTTCTGAGCTAAAAGTTTTCAATTGCATATTAAGCCAAGACATTTAATGATTTTTCTGAAACCTATTAATGAAGGGAATGGAAACTGAGCCAAAAGCTTTAATGTACCATTTTAAGATTTCACTTTTTCTTGCAATTTTTGGATGCTGAAAGTATATTTATTTATTTGTTCAACCTTCTGTGCCTCTTATGTTAGGGACTGAATCCTCGACGTCGCTGTTTGACGTCCCGGAGGTGTGGTAGCGAGAGGAGAAGTGAGGAGGCCTCTGTCCCACATGGAGCTCCGGCTCAGAGTCTCTCAGCACTTGGGTCGCTCTCCTGACACGCTGTTCACCACCAGGAGCTGTTCACCACCAGGAGCTGTTCACCACCAGGAGCTGTTCACCACCAGGAGCTGTTCACCACCAGGAGCTGCGCACCCTCCCCCCCCCCCCCCCCCCCCCCCCAATTAATTATTTGACTCAACAGCTGCGGACAGCGTGTCTAAAGCCAGCAGCCGAGCTTCTGACTGGACGATTGAAGGAGCGAACACAAGCCATAACGACAGCTGCCATATTTCCATCTTCTACCAGAGGAGCAGGAAACTCTTCATCCCTCACTATAATCCTAAAGGCTCCAGGAATGATCATTTATTCAGACTGGACTCTGCCACGCTGTCACTATGAAACCTGTTTTTAACGACACTGTCGCCTCCTATCAGTCTTATATTTTGTGAGTTGTGCATGTGAGGATTTAAAATACCACCGTCAGGTCCTGTAGTTTACACCGTCTGGGTTATTTAGTATTTTAAAGCTGTCCACTATTTTGTTCCCTTTTTTTTTTTTTTTTTAAACAAGTTCTGTCAACTACCCCAGTTTTATTCAAACGTATATAAGCTTATCAATATTAATGTGATGTGTATTCTTGGCGGCACTTTGAACTTTGGCGAGAGGTGCTTGTTTTGTACAGAATTGTTCTTTACCTTTATTTTTGTGTTTGTTTTGTAAACGTGTCAACCTGCAACAATGTCAAAGTATGTTCCGGTGTAAACGTTAATGAGACGTATACATTTTTGTAAAACAAAGTTTAAAAGTACTTAAAATATTTCCTAAAAAGGGAGAAAATTAAAGGCTGTTTCTTAGTAACTCTGTTTTCTGTCTTTTCTCGTCCCACACACACGGAGCACATCTCATGCACCAGATAGGAAATATTTGAACACCTGCTCGTTTTTATTGCGTTAAACGTCGGGAGTTACCATAATCTAATGTAACAATTTCCTTCCAATGTTTCACTCAAAGACTTTGCTTCAGCACATTTTTTTTTTACCATAATTATTAGTAGCAATTCCCTGGCTCACTGGAAAGCTGTAAACTAAGAAGTTCTTGAGCAGAGGTTCCCAATCTGTGGGCCGCGGCCCCTAGTGGTCCGTGAAGGCATTGCAAGTGCCAACATTTGCCAATTTTTTTTTTTTTTGTACAGGCTAAAGACGCAAACATGGACACAACAATAACATATAGGAGATGACATTCCCATCTCAGACAAAAACAGGAGAAATAAAGATTCAGTCAGTAGGATCACTTCAACGTTTCACAAACAAAAATACCACCAAAAACCCAACATGGCGAGCATATTTGATTTAATAATCCCACTCTTCGTTGGAGCTAATTATTTCCCATTTCATGGCGTGTTGAGCCTTTGATTTTTTTTTTATGGCAATAATTTTTAAAAAAAATTTTAATCTACTCTTCAAACACCTTAAATTAAGATTACTCCTTGATTGACTTTAACAAATATGTATTTTAGCCAGAAGAATAGTTGTATTTAAGAACTGTGTGCGGTCTTCCTAAAAGCCCAAATAAAATATTGAAGGGTGTAAATGTAAATTCAATATTTGCCGCCAAATAATTTGCAAAACATTATTTGTGTGGAAACAGTTTTTATTTTTTATTTGAACCTCAAATAATAGGATCTTTCTTGATCCTCCTTAGCAACGGTCATTACAGTCCTTGACAGCGGTCTGTTCTACTGGATTTACGTGTCACATGTTCTGAATTGGCCAATCAGAACTTTATGTAGCCTCCATATTTTTTATGGTTGAATGTGGGCCGCGAAAAAAAAAAGAAGTGATTCTTAAGTGGGCCCCGAGTTGAAAAATGTTGGGAACCGCTGTTCTAGAGAAATAATTTAAATGTCTTCAGTACTTTTTAAACAAGTAATTAATGAATAGATTGACATTTAAGTGTTGAACACAGTCTGGGAACAGAACTAAACCTGGTGGGCCTTGAATGTTTTAAAAACCATTGCTTTTACATTTTGTAATTGTCTAAAAGGTATTAGGTCAGCTATCCCAAATGAGTTGTGCACGGATGTATTTTCATGCGAAGGCCCTTAAACTGCAGAAATGTTGACATGCCATAATAGGAAAATGAAATAATAATACATGATATTTATATGGTGCTTTTCCCAGGGCTCAAATACGCTTTACAAGCAAATTAATATAAAATGATAGTGGAGCTTAACTGCTTCAGATTCAGCATCCTGGTATTAAACATGCTGAGACACTTTGATGACAGCCATTGTTGATGATATAAATAACTTAATGTCTGTTGTGAAAAAGACCACTTCAGATTGGTTTCTGAAAAACAAGTCAATCACTAGATGGTATTACATATCATCTAGCTCAGTGCTTCTCAAACTTTTTTCAGTAATGTACCCCCTTTGAAACATTTTCTCAGCCAAGTACCCCCGGACCGACCCCGGACATTTTTGATAGAAAAAGCCTATATAAATAATTACAATATAGTAATGTTCCATCAGTGTTTGATTTATTAACTCCTTCATGCACGAATTACAACAAACTAAGGATATTCTCATCTTTATGCATGAAAAAATATATAACGAAAACAAATTAAAACAGATTTTTCCAAGGAGTAAGATCCATCATAAGATTTTCATTGCCATTTCTACACTGTAGCTTATGTGCATATGAATCTTGAAAAATAAAGACTCAAACTCCGAACAAGTGCAGATATATTCACTTCAATCAAGATCATACCATAGTAAGTGCTGGTGAATTAGTTACAAGGCCTAAATTAACTCAAAGTTTAAAATGATTTTAGCCCTAACAGATTACACACAGTTAAACAACAGTAAAACATGTCATAAAGCAAAATATACTTAGCAAATACCAATGCAGTCAAGATGTCTGATTTCTTCAAGGTTCAAAATGCACTTACAAATATAAACCTGTAAATAATAGGGCCCCTTTAAACGTTCCTTTTATATAAAAAAAATTCAAATATAAACATGTATGGTTCAGAAATGTGTAGCTCAGAGGGCTGTAGTCTTGTACTACGAAGCCAGAGTTTCGCTTAGCGAGCTAACTTCAGGGTTAACTCTGGGTTTCCGGTCCTACGACGCTGGTTCACTTCTTAGCGGGCTAGATCTCCATGGTAACTGATGCTGAATGGCAAACCTGCTCCGGAGCAGGTTAGGTTCCAGGCTAAGAGATCAACTCAGTGAAAGCACCGCCTGCTGACCAATCAGAGCTCCGTGTGCGGAGTTTAAAGCTATCAAGTCATATTACAGGATAGAGGAAATACAGAAAAACTGCCGTTGCAGGAAAGACGGCCGGCAAAAATCAACTGACTGTGTGAACGAGAACATTAATAGAATATCCCCTCCCATCTTCAGAGCAATCTGACTATTATAACATTAGCGTTAAGAAAGCTTACTTAAATATCTGCCACAACATAAGTAACCGGATCAGAGTAACATTAAGTACAGTCCGCGGCACTGTGAGTGCAGACGTCGATGTGTCCCATTATCATTCATATCATATCACATCATAATGTATCATATATTTCCTTATCTGAGTCAGCTGAGCCGTATCTGGCCGTGCAACACTCACAGTGTCACATACTGTATGCAGAAGTATTATTTTAAAGGGGACCTATCATGCAAAATGCACTTTGGTACGTCTTTTATACATGAATATGTGTGCCCGGTGTTCCAGGGAACTCACCAAGTGTCAGAAAACACAACCCTCTCTATTTTCCTCCATACCCAAATCTCTAAAAAAAGGGGCTGCAACGGATCTGATAAAAACTGATCCAGATTTGAACACTGTCCTGACGTCAGGACGGTGGCGCTACGGCTATTGGGCCAACTCCACCAATCAGGAGGAGACAGCCACGGCCATTGCCGTTCGAAAGCGCTGGAGACGCTGTAGTACATATGCCAGGCCTGTAGATGGTGCTGTTCTCACAGAATCAGCCCTTGCAAAAACAGGGCTAAAAAAGTGCAAATTGAGCAAAATGAGGCATGGCTAAAATGCATGATCTGTTTGGTATTTTGAAAAAAAAAAAGTATATGCCTTATATAGGTATGGTCCTACACTATATTATTATAATATAGCATGATAGGTCCACTTTAAGCAACACATTAAGTTGACGAAACACTCGAGTCAAATGTAATTAAAGTCAGATCGTGTCTTGGACGGGGCAGTGATATCATAAACCTGTTAATGTACGCATTCAAACACTTTTTCTTTTACCAGCTGTATTCACCTTGCAGGTGCAGCTATGTGGCTTTTATCCTGGATAAAGTGTTTAAGTCATGGATGTTTAAAGTTTAACTTCTTCATATTTGTCTAATATTATAGTTCACTTTTCATTCAGGAAGTATGACGCTGCGCTGTCAGTACGCTTGTCCATGTTTGTGATTGGTCAAATTGTTGCTAGCCCCGCCCCTTTCATGTGAACACGCACCGGACAGAGAAACCCTGGCTTGAGTTACCGAGTTGATAACTAGCATCGTTGGACCGCTTAGCGAGAGCGCGTTTGTTTTGGGTTAGTTAAGCCGGGTAACTCAAACATATCCAGGGTATGTTGAACTGGATTCGTAGTACAGGCCTCAGAGGTAAAAGGGGGCTTACAGCAAAGTTTTATTTTCGTATTCTCTAAAAAGACTCATGTTCATTGCTTTCACTTCACAAGATAAGGCATCATTGCACTGGAATATATTATCATAGTCCCGGTTTATTTTAATTCCCACAGAGGTGTCAGTTCTCCTTAAGACTCCTGCTTGACCTCCATAAGGCACAGACCAGAAAGGAGACCGTGATCACTAGGGAGGAGAAGAGAAGATTAGAAAAGTTTCGAAATATCTAATTTAATAGCACATTTATTTGAGACTCTGTCAGAGTCCTTACCTGGTGTGTCCGAGCAGCACGACCACAGACAAGGTGCCTTCTGGGAGATATCTGAACAGCTTCTGTAGCCGGCGGTCCAACTTCCCCATCATGAGATCCATTTCCTCGTCCTGCATAGATCACACATTGGAGTCTTTATTACATGTGTTCAAAAGTCTATTAACTATCTGAAAGTACTAATTATTTTGTGTTATGGGGCACGCTGTTTTTTCGCATTGTGCTTAAATTCCAAAGTGCCCAA